ACTGGCTGATGCTGCTCATGACTCTTGGAAAAGCTGCTGATGCCCCCTGTGTAGTCCAGCACCTGTGGAGAAGGGCCACAGGCACAGACGGGTGGGATCACGTTGTCGTGCAGACCTGGGAGGACCAGCAGTGGCTCCAGAACTTTCATATGCAGAAAGTGATGTTTCTGGAGCTTTATGAGCAGCTTGCCCTGACTCTGCAGTGTCAGAAGACATGCAAGAAGGGGGTGAAGTTGGTCCAGAAGCGGGATGCTATAACTGTCTGGAAGTAGTCTACTCCTGACTGCTGCAGGTCCACTGCTAACTAGTTTTGTTTTGGCAAATTAACTGTGGGGGCAGAGATTTCTGAGACAATCAGGCATGTGATTTCCCCAAAGATGGGGAGCATAAACAGTGTCAAGAACAAAGTTAAGAACATAAGAATGATCATACTGACTCAGACCAGTATCCTGTCTTCCTACAGTGGTTGGTGAAAATGCTTCAGAGTGGTGAACAGAACAGGGAAATTTATTGAGTGATCCATCCCCTGTCATCTCATCCCATCTTTCGGCAGTCACAGGTTTAGGGATACCCAGAGCTTGGGGTTGCATCCCTGACCATCTTGGCTCATAGCCATTGATGGTCCTATGGTCCATCAACTTATCTAATTACTTTTTGAACCCAGTTATAGTTTTGGCTGTGTGTTGGGTGAGGAAGTACAGCAGAACCCTGTTTATCCGATCGAATAGGGACCAGGGCCAGATCGGATAATTAAAAAAACTGGATAATTCAGAGACTAGATAAGTGTGATGCTGCATTGCCACCAGTGCCCACAGAACAGAGCACCCGAGGACCTATGTACACTGGTTGTGCAGTTAATACACAGAGCCGGATAATGGAGGGTCGGATAAACGGGCTTCTACTGTATTTGGTTTGTTTTAGACTTGCTGCCTATTAATTTAATTGGGTGACTCCTGGCTCTTGTGTTTATGTCTAGGGGTAAATAACACTTCCTTACTCACTTTCTCCACACCATTCATGATTTTACAGACCGCTATCATGTACCTCCTTAGTCATCTCTTTTCCAACCTGAACAGTCCCTGTCATTTTTCTCTCTCCTAATACGGAAACTGTTCCATATACTTAATAATTGTTATTTCCCTTCTCTGTACCCTTTCCATTTCTAATATTTCTTTTTTGAGATGGGGAACCAGAACTGCACACAATATTCAAGGTGTTGGTGTTCCATGGATTTATACAGTGGCATTGTGATATTTACTATCTTTTTATCTATACCTTTCCTAATAGTTCCTAACATTCTGTTAGTGTTTTTGACTGCTGCTGAATGTTGAGTGAATGTCCTCAGAGAACTATCCACAATCACGCAAAGATCTCTTTCTTGAGTGGTAACAGCTAATTTAAACCTAGTCATTTTGTATGTATAGTTTGGATTATGTTTTCCAGTGTGCATTACTTTGCATTTATCAACTTTGAATTTCATCTGCCATTCTGTTGCCCAGACACCCAGTTTTGTGAGATGCCTTTGTAACTCTTCACAGTCTGCTTTGGACTTAACTATCTTGAGTAAATTTGGTATCTTCTGCAAACTTTGCCATCTCACTCTTAACCCCTTTTTCCAAATTATTTATGAATATGTTGAAGAACACTGGTCCCAGTTCAGATCGCTGTGGGATCCGGCTGTTTACCTCTGTCCATTGTGAAAACTGACAATTTATTCCTACCCTTTCTCCCTATCTTTTAATCTGATCCACAAGAGGACCTTCCCTCTTATCCCATGACTGCCTAATTTGCTTAAGAGCCTTTGGAGAGGGACCTTATCAAAGGTTTCAGAGTAACAGCCGTGTTAGTCTGTATTTGCAAAAAGAAAAGGAGTACTTGTGGCACCTTAGAGACTAACCAATTTATCTGAGCATAAGCTTTCGTGAGCTACAGCTCACTTCATCGGATGCATACTGTGGAAAGTGTAGAAGACCATTTTATACACACAAGGCATGAAAAAATACCTCCCCCCACCCCACTCTCCTCCTAAAATGATAAGCTATTACCAGCAGGAGAGTGGGGTGGGGAGAGGTATTTTTTCATGCCTTGTGTGTATAAAAAGGTCTTCTACACTTTCCACAGTATGCATCCCATGAAGTGAGCTGTAGCTCACGAAAGCTTATGCTCAGATAAATTGGTTAGTCTCTAAGGTGCCACAAGTACTCCTTTTCTTTTTGCGACCTTATCAAAGACTTTCTGAAAGTTCAAGTAAACTATATCTACTGGCTCACCCTTGTCCACATGTTTCTTGACTCCCTCAAAGAATTCTAATAAATGAGACCTGGTTTCCATTTAGAAAAACCGTGTTGACTCTTCGTCAACAAATTGTGTTCATCTACCAGTCTGATCATTCTGTTCTTTACTGTAGTTGCAATGAATTTGCTTAGTACCCAGAGGCCTCCCTGCCCTTGAGGACTCCCCTTCCACTCTCCTGTCTGGCAGAGTCCTCATAACCCCGACAAGGCTGGACCCATGATTCCTGGGGGGCTCGACCCCCAACCCTGCTGTGATCACCTAGGACAGGGGCTAGGGTGTCCCCTCTCTGGGGTACTCTCTCTGCACTGGGCACTTCCCTGACCCACTGATCATTTCATACAATTTAAAGCAAATACAAGTTGTTTAACAACTAATTTAAAGAAAGAACAAGGAAAAATGGGAAAGGTTAAAGGAAACACATCACCTCGCCCTGTAGCAGGGAACATCACAAACAGTGTCTCTAGACATCAGGGCAGTTCACAGTCTGTTCCTTGTAGGTCCCAGGCCTCCTTCTCCGGCCCTGGCTGTGCTGCAGGGATGCTGCGAGTTGGACACGTGCAATGGTGGCGGCCACACCCCTCCAGGCTTTGGGTGGTGGGACCCTTCTTCCCACCGTCAGCCTTGGGTTAAGATCCCCCTCCCAGTCTGGCCTGCAAGGACGCTTGGCTGGGGGTGTCTTTCTGCGCTGGGCCCATTGCCCAAGGTCCCCCCTTGGCTGGCCCCAGTTGCTCACCACACCTGGCTCTGTGGCTGCAGCTCTGCGCCCAGCACAGGATCTGCTCCCCCTGGGCTGCGTCTGTGACTCTGTTGGCTGGCACGGCTCCACTCCCCAGCTCAGCTCGGGCCCCTGCTTTCTCCTTAGCTCGGCCCCACTCTGTCTGTCTGACCCAGGCAGTTCCAGCTCACAGGGAGGAGGGGACCCCCCTGGCCTCCTGACTCCCTGGTTAGCCTGCCCGCCCTGTCATTCAGGCTGACCTGGAGCACTGGCCTCTCCCCTTTTGGTAGTGGGAGCTCGCCCGCCAAACACCCCCACTGAATGCTAGTAAGGGGACAAGCCTTTACATTGGTGGAGTGAAACTACATTGACAGCGGCTAACAAGAAAAGGAGACCAATTCGGGGAATCAGAAGGGTAGATAAGACAGATTTGTAAACTGTTATGCGGCTTTATGTGGACAGGTGGCTGAGGAAGGATTCTTTTAAACACTAAAAATGCGTATGGCCATTGTAACTTGAGGGGTGTATGTAAAATATTTCCCCGAGTCCACGCTCCTCTGGTAGCTGAATACATCAAGTCAGACAGGGCAGAGCAGCCAGGCCAGGGCGCTGGGACGCGCTGGGCCTTTGAGAAGGCAGCCCTGGGAAGCCGGTGCTGAAACGTACCATCCTGGGAGAGGGGAAAATGCCCCCCTGCCCCTGCCCCTCTCTGGCGGTGCCCCTGCCCCATGCTCACCCCGGCTCCTGCCCCCGCCCCGCCCCAGCTCTTTGCCCCTCCTGGGACCTGGTCTGCCCCCGCCCAGACTCTGCCCGCCCGGGGGGGCCGGGGAGGGGCTGGAGCCGCGGAAAGGCGGGGCCGGGAGGCGGGAGCGGGCGGGCGGCGCTGGGGAGAACAAAGGGCCGAGCAGGTCCCAGCCGCCCCAGGCTGGGGGTGGGACGTTGCAGGGCGCTGCTGCCTCCCTCCGCCGGGAGCCCGGGCTGAGCAGCTGCCGCTCCACGCGGCCGGGCCACGGGGAGACCTTCGGGGCCGCGGCTGCTGCGCCCGGCCGGAGCGGGCTTCCCCCGCGGGGCTGGGCCTCGCCCCGGGCCGGAGACCAGGTAACCGAGGGGCCGGGCCGGGGTCTGCTCCCGCGCTGGGCCTGCGCCGGCCGGGGCTGCCCCGGGACAGGGCGGAGAGAGCGTGTGAGCTGCGCTGGATTTGCCCAGCTCGGTGCAGCCAGGACCTTCCGGGGGGAGGGAAGAGCCGGGGCCCGCACGGTGGGGGGTGAAATCCCCTCTGGTGTCACCTCTTCCCCCGCCCGGCCCGACACAACCCTCCCGGCTCGGCCCCGCTGCTCCGGCGTGAGCCATGGGGAGTAAAACCCCCGTCGCTTCCCCTTCGCCTCCCGCGACGGAGTCCTCCGCTCTCGGCCACGGCGTGTGCCGCTTTCTCTGCCCGGCCCCGCTGCTCCCCCGGCCCCTTCAGCCAGACCCCACTGCCCACCCGCGGGGCCTCCCGGCTCCTCCTCGCTCCCTGCTCCCGGGAAGGCAGCAGGGCCCAGGGCTCCCCGCCGCCCCGTGGCTGTCAGGCAAGGGGGACCCATCGCCTTGCGCTGTTCGTTGTACGTGGCTGGATAAGGGCCTGGTGGGGCACTGGCCTCGGGAGCATCTCGGAGCAGCGGGGTGCAGCATCCCAGACCTCGTCTCCCCCGGCGTCCCCTGCAGGCCGCCGGCCGGCTTGGGGGCAATTCCGTGGTCGGCCGCCTGGCCGAGGCCAAAGTCCCAGTGAGCCCTGCCGGGGTATTAGAGTCCCCCCAGGAAGCAGTCTGCTTCCCCGGCTCGGGCTTCGGCCCCAGCTCCCGGCCCTGGACATTCAGCCCTTTGGTCAGGCTCCCAAACGAGGCCTGTCCCCTTTTGGGGTTTACACCATTTTCCCTGTTGCCAGGGGAACCCAGGCCCAGCCACTGCCCCAGGTTCCAGCCTGGGGACCCTCGACACAGCGGCCACGTACTGCTCGCTCCGGGCCATCACTGCTGTTTCCCTGGGCCTCTTCCTACGGGGCCCTTCCATCTGCAGCCCTGTCGCAGGGGCGCCCTCCTCCGCTTCTTCTCTCGCACCGGGCCAGGGAAGAGCCCCCTTGCTTTACTCCTTCAGTCCAGCCAGGGACTGAGCTGCTGTGCCCGCCGCTCCTTTTCTCTGAGCCTCCTGGCCTCTGAGTGGCTGCTTCTGGGAGGCCTGGGTCGGCCCTAGAGAGGCCCAGAGGACCCACCTTTGCCGTTCCCTGGGGCGGGATGTAGTAGGATCGTGGGGGTCTGCTGTAGGGAGCTGCAAAGGCCAGGTACATCCCATCACAAATCCCCTTAAACGTGCCCACTTTTCCCTCCAATTCTTCAGTGTTGACAAGTCCCCTCAGGTGTTGGTATTTTTCACTTGTATTAGGAAATGTTTCGTTTTTGCCCCATTTGCTCCTCAGTTCTAAAATATTGCTGCAAAATTCCTGAATGTTTTGCCCCATTTTCTCTCTCGTTATCCATGATTTATTATCCCCTGAGTTTTCCCCCATCTAATCATTTGATATTAACATCAAATCTCCTCAGATGTCATTTTCTTAAATTCCTAAATATTGATTAATATAAAATCCTTGTACGTTTTTCTCTTTCTCTCCCTAATGATCAAATATTGATATGAAGTCCACTCAGATTTTACCTCTTTATCTTGTATCAACTATTGATATAAAATCCCTCAGACTTTTCCACTTTCATCTAATTTGTGACAAATTCCTCATATTTGCTCCTTTTTCTTTTTAATTACTGAACACTGATGTCACATTTTGGATTTTAGCATTTCCCATAAATTATTGAATTAAAAAAATCCTCTTAGGCTTTGAGGTGTTCTCCGTATTGTTCAGACCCTTCTCCTGTTTGGAGGGAACTTGTTGCCTTGAGTCATTCTCCATAGTGGAGGTTGCAGAGGGGTTAAATTCCCCAGTGATCAACTTTCCGCTCACATTTGAGAACCATTTGTTTTCCCCTTTGTCTCCATTAAAATCCACAGGGTTGCTGATCAGGGTGACTTGCCCCACTTCAGATTCACATCCCAGGCAGGGCTTCACACCATCTGGGCCTCACACTGTCCAGTTTCAGAGTAGCCGCTGTGTTAGTCTGTATCTGCAAAAAGAAAAGGAGTACTTGTGGCACCTTAGAGACTAACAAAGGTTCCACAAGTACTCCTTTTCTTTTTACACTATCCAGTGTCTCCCAGACCCTGACTGACTTTTCCTTTCCCCAGACAGTGTGAGACATTAACTCCCCTCAGGGGGCTGCTCTGTGTGTGGGTGGGTCCCTGTTCCCCTGGGCTGCGCCCAGAGTGGCTGAGACGCTCCATCCTCCTGTACTAACTCCTCACGTTCCGATAGCTGCTTTCACCAGAAGGGTCCCCAGAGCCCGTGGTGAACGGTCCCTATGAGGGGTCTCTTCCTGCAGTGCTGAGACCCAGCCACCTCTGGGGTGGGTCCATGGTGGCCATTATTAGCCAGTGATAGAGCAGGAAGTTTATTGAATTGTCTGGCTCCTCCACCCCCTCCCGTCTCCTGTTAAAGCAGCATTGCCCAGGGCTGTGTGAATGGCCGGTCGGGGCAGTGATAACTTTCTCTCCATTGATCAAATACTAATATAAAATCGCCACAAATTTTGTTTCTCTCCCCTTCAGAACTGTAGGATGTTCAGGGTTTGGAGGAACAATAGTTACTCTGAGCCCTTGCCCCAGAAGTAGGGGAGGAGGGAAGGCCTGAAACCTCCCCTCCCCGGGGTGTGGTTAAACAGATTTTGGCATCCTCCCTCCAGTGTCACATTTCTGGTCTCATTGACTCCAGAGTTGCTGCAAGGAAGGAAAAGGAGTGGCTCTGGATTAACATAGGAGCCGATAAGATCCGGGAAGTGGTGTCCTTAGCTGCTGTCACCAGAGGGCTCTGGCTGTTGCTAAGGGAGGGGAGGCTGCTCTCTCTGTCTCTCTTTACTCAAGATATCAGGGTTGAGTTTCTCAGGTGGGATGGTGCTGCCTCCCCTGTGCTCTGGGAGCCCAGGCTGAGCCGCTACTGCTCCTCAGCAGGGTCTGTGCTGTGGAGAGACCTTCATGAAAGGCTCCTCCCTGCCCAGCCCATTCGGGGACTTCCTCTAGTGGCTGGAACTAGCCCCCTAAGGCAGCCCCAGGCTCGGCCAACTCTAACTGCTGAGCCAGAGGCTCCAGGTGACTGAGAGAGACCGGGGGATGGTCAGAAAAGTGACTCTGCACAAATGTCACCAGGAGCCTGGGATCTCCCAGCCCCTGGGAATCTGCTACTTGTTGTTAATGCACCTGTGGGCGGGATCCGAGCTGCCTTAACAGCACTGAGCCATTGATCTCCTGCCAGGATCTGCCCAGTGGCAAAACTGGGGATTGAGGAGGGGAAGAGACCAGCTCCGTGAGGTTCCCCTTTGCGTGTTTGGGGTGTGGAGGTGCCAGGCAGGGAAGGGTCAGGGAAGGACAGAGATTGAGGGAGAGACAGTGTGAGTTAGGAGCAGTCGGGAAATTGGCCGGCGGGGGGGAAGAAGAGCTTGAAATCCCCTGTGATTTTGCCACTTCCCTCTGAAAGATTTATAAAATCCTCTCCTGATTCCGTCACATTTCTCTGTAATTATCAAATATGGATATAAAATCTATGTCAATATTTCAGTCTTTTCTCTCAAATTATTTATAATTTCTCCATTCAGCTTTTGTCCCATTTTCTCTCTAATTCTCCGGTGTCAATTTAAAATCTCCTCAGATTTGGGGTGTTTCAGAGATTCATAGATACTAAGGTCAGAAGGGACCGTTATGATCATCTAGTCCGACCTCCTGCACAACGCAGGCCACAGAATCTCACCCACCCACTCCGCAAAAAACCTCTTACCTATGTCTGAGCTATTGAAGTCCTCAAATTGTGGTTTAAAGACTTCAAGGAGCAGAGAATCCTCCAGCAAGTGACCCGTGCCCCATGCTACAGAGGAAGGCGAAAAACCTCCAGGGCTTCTTCCAATCTGCCCTGGAGGAAAATTCCTTCCCGACCCCAAATATGGCAATCCGCTAAACCCTGAGCATATGGGCAAGATTCACCAGCCAGATCCTACAGAAAGTTCTTTCCTGGGTAACTCAGATCCCACCCCATCTGACATCCCATCACAGGCCATTAGGCCTATTTACCATGAATATTTAAAGATCAATTAATTGCCAAAATCATGTTATGCCATCATACCATCTCCTCCATGAATTTATCGAGTTTAATCTTAAAGCCAGATAGATCTTTTGCCCCCACTGCTTCCCTTGGAAGGCTATTCCAAAACTTCACTCCTCTGATGGTTAGAAACCTTTGTCTAATTTCAAGTCTAAACTTCCCAATGACCAGTTTATATCCATTTGTTCTTGTGTCCACATTGGTACTGAGCTTAAATAATTCTTCTCCCTCTCCAGTATTTATCCCTCTGATATATTTATAGAGAGCAGTCATATCTCCCCTCAACCTTCTTTTAGTTAGGCTAAACAAGCCAAGCTCCTTGAGTCTCTTTTCATAAGACAAGTTTTCCATTCCTCGGATCATCCTAGTAGCCCTTCTCTGTAACTGTTCCAGTTTGAATTCATCCTTCTTAAACATGGGAGACCAGAACTGCACACAGTATTCCAAGTGAGGTCTCACCAGTGCCTTGTATAACGGTACTAAAACCTCCTGATCTTTACTGGAAATACCTCTCCTGATGCATCCCAAGACTGCATTAGCTTTTTTCACGGCCATATCACATTGGCAGCTCATAGTCATCCTATGATCAACCAATACTCCAAGGTCCTTCTCCTCCTCCATTACTTCTAATTGATGCGTCCCCAGCTTATAACTAAAATTCTTGTTATTAATCCCTAAATGCATAACCTTACACTTCTCACTATTAAATTTCATCCTATTACTATTACTCCAGTTTACAAGGTCATCCAGATCCTCCTGTATGATATCCCAGTCCTTCTCTAAATTGGCAATACCTCCCAGCTTTGTATCCTCTGCAAACTTTTAGGTTTCAGAGTAACAGCCTTGTTAGTCTGTATTTGCAAAAAGAAAAGGAGTACTTGTGGCACCTTAGAGACTAACCAATTTATTTGAGCATAAGCTTTCGTGAGCTACAGCTCACTTCATCGGATGCATACTGTGGAAAATACAGAAGACGTTTTTATACACACAAACCATGAAAAAATGGGTGATTATCACTACAAAAAGGTTTTCTCTCCCCCCCACCCCACTCTCTTGTTGGTAATAGTGAGAGTGGGGTGCGGGGAGAGAAAACCTTTTGTAGTGATACCTCAGATATGGTAATATCTACCTCCATATCCTCACTCCCATTTGTCATGCTACCATTATCCCTAAGTTCCTCATTAGCCTTATTAAAGACTGAGACATTTGTTTAGATATTTGTTTAGTATTTGTTTAGATATTGGGCCATGCCTAGATTACCTTTGACCTCCACTCCATCCTCAGTGTTTAGTGGTCCCACTTCCTACCTGTTAAGGGGCTTATTCCTTCACCCCCTTCCTTCCCTGGTCCTTCTCGCATGAACAGAGAGCAACAATACCCGAAGTCCAAAGGTGCAAACAATTCAATGTTTATTGGGGTGAACTTCCAGCAAGCATGATTCCAGTTTCCTTCCTTAGTATCCTCCTTCCCAGCTCTGATACCACAGAGCCTTACACCTGTGTCTCTGTTCCCATTCCTACCCTTAGCCAAACATGATTCCAATTTCCTTACCCCCATTCCCTGTTCCCATCTCCCCTCCCCCACACACACACATCCACTTCCTGATTGACTGCAGACTATATAGTAAAACTTGAGTTAGGCTTAGCTATACCTTAACCAATCATTTTCCTGAAATTTAATTAATCAACCCTAACATATTGTAACATGATTATGTAACCAATCATATCCCACCGCCTGAATTAGTTTACACCCAGCAAAATTAATTATACAGAAGACAGGAACAATCACAGAACGAGACAGAGATTATACAGATAAACAATAGCAAAGTGGGAACTATAATGACAAAACAATACCGAAGTGAGGATTTCACATCCCAGCTATTGATAAGTGAGTTCTTGCCAGACAGGATGCTATCAAACTAAGTTTCCTTTTACATTTTCTAGGCATTTCCCTTTCTCTGGAGGTGACAGGCACTATCAGGACAGGATTGTATTCCTAGCAGCCCAATAGCACCTTCTTTCAATGTGACTAGTTTGGAATGTGAGGATGTGACCAGTCGCTTCCC